CGCCGCTGCCCACTTCCAAGGAGCGCTTCCCGGGCCAGTCGGTCTATCACATCAAGTGGGTGCGCTGGAAGGAGGAGAACACGCCCGTCATCACGCAGAACGAGAACGGCCCCTGCCCCTTGCTGGCCATCATGAACGTGCTGCTCCTGGCCTGGAAGGTACCGTGCGCCCGGCTGGCAGTGCCCAGAGCTTGTGCTCGCGGCCACGAACTTAGCTCTGCTCTGACATCCCACCTTGGGGAGCAAATCGGAGCTTGTCGTCTCACTAGTGTGAGGAGAACACGCCCGTCATCACGCAGAACGAGAACGGCCCCTGCCCCTTGCTGGCCATCATGAACGTGCTGCTCCTGGCCTGGAAGGTACCGTGCGCCCGGCTGGCAGTGCCCAGAGCTTGTGCTCGCGGCCACGAACTTAGCTCTGCTCTGACATCCCACCTTGGGGAGCAAATCGGAGCTTGTCGTCTCACTAGTGTGGTGCTTGGGCACTGCTGTCATGTATCGTTGTGCTGTGCGGTCCCCTGTTAAAACAGAAATCCCCATCGAGATGGTGCTTTGCTAAACAGCATTTTGTTCGCAGCTCTGTGCAGATTTATAGTAAACAGCGTTTCTATTTATAGTAGGAAGAGCAGAAGCAATGTTTTTGAAAATAGGTTATATAATTGCACGTAGGCAGAATCTGACAAAATACAGATTTGTGTGAACAGGTGCCTCCACAGTGGGTAATGCGCTTGTACTGTTGTGCAGTATATGTTCCTTCCAAAAGTAATTAGTAAATCAGGTTGTTATCAAGCACAGCTTTGAGATCTGGATGTTTTTGTGGTGTGATACCACCCTTGGTTAATGACTTCCTCTAGCCTTAGAATAATTCTAAATTTTAACTCTAAATCTTTAGAATTGAAGGAAGGCAATCTAAATATATGTCGTAATGTAGTTATTAGTGTTTATGTCCAGAAAGGATGTGGAAAGCAGCTTGTAGGTTGCTGTGCTCTACGAACCAAGAAAGATTTCCTCCCAAATGCTAGTAAACCAACCCCAAATCAGGAGGGGCACAGTAAAATGGTGCTTTGCAGTAGGAAAGCTTTTTGCGTTGTAGTCTCAAAGGAGAGAGATTTGGTATTGGAAGCGTAGGCAGCCATTCACAGGAGTAACAGGTGACACAGGGGGAAAAAAGTCCAAAAGAAGAAGAAGAAAAAAAAAGGACATATTTGGGAAGTTCAGGCTTATAAGTCAAGGTATTTTGTAAACTCTGGTGTGAGATTTATTGCCTACTTCCTGGTATAAGCATTGAGGCATGCGCTCATAGAACTTGAATAATCAAAGCAAGCCAGTGTGGGAGCAAAGGGAAGGGTACAAATGCTAGATATTGCACCTGTACATTGATATGTAAAATGTGTTGCATTCCCTGTGTGTTGATAGTTGTATATGGTTTTTGAAGCACAACAAAGTTTTACTTCTTGTTAAGAAGATGCAGAAAAGAATGTTTTGGATTTTTGGTATCTAGTTGAACAGTACCTGAAAGAGAAAACCACCAACCAGAGGAATGTTCACTTAAAAACAAAACAAAACGAAAAATAGCTTTTAAAATTGAATTGGAGAGTGAACCTTCCAACAGTCAAGCTGTGCAAGAAGTGCTTGAGACATTCCATCTTTTGTTCTTTTTCAAGGAAATAGAGTGCAGTAGATGTTTCTGATGGAAGACGGTTTATTTTCAGACCGTTATGGGCATTTTCTTTGAGTTGTGGTTTGTTTCTTTTTCCAGACTTTTCATACATCAGGACAAAAGCTATGGATACAGTGGGTTTTGTAGATACTTAGACATCAGCGAAAGTAGTACAGGGAGGCTGGTTATGATTTTAAGTTATTGTCTTACGTAGGTTCTGTCTATTTCAATTGAGCACAAAAGCCTTTTAGATTTCTTTTTTTTTCCCTCTCTTTCTCCATGCTTTCCCTTTAATGATTAAGGATGAGTGCAGGGCCTTGGAGAACTAGTTCTGTTGCTATTCTGTGTAGTGTTGTTTTTGAATAAATGGCTAGTTCCAGGATTTTCCTTTGTAAGCCGTCCTGTAATGAAAGGTTACACATGGAACAGAATTGCCCTTCTTGGTTATATAGTGTCCCTGCCTATAATTTGTTTCTCCTAATTAGTGCCTCTCCACACTAGCCTTTCTTTTCCCCAGTTTTTGGTCAAGAAGCATGTTGGCATTGTTTGGAGTGGCAAGTTATTGGCAGCCCATCATTGACAGTAGCCAGCTGCATGGCAAGGCTGAGGATGGACGTCTACATTCTTCTTGCTTCTCCTGAACCAAGATGAACACTAGATTGGGTTAGGTAATTGTATTTTGGCAACAAGGGAGCAGAATAGCTGACGGAAGCAGGCAAAAGGAGAGTGAGAGTACCATAGTGTGCCTTAGGTGAATAGAAGTGACATATTGGAAAGAACATTGGAGCAAAAAGGAAGTGAGAAGGGGGCAGTAGTAAAGGTGTAATAGGGAGTAAGGTAGTAAACATGCACCCATTTTTTGTGCAGCCACAAACCTCCCTTTTCAGAACTCTGTCCTCTCCAGGTTGAGATTTTTGCTCCTACTGTAGGTAAATTTGGTCTCCAGTGACTTCAGATAAGTGCAAGCACTCAAAACTGAGAAATATTAAAGTTACTGTACTAGCTTTCGGGCTTTCAAAGATATATCCCATAGGATGTCACATTCATATTTCACTTATCCCAGGACTGCAGTGATAGTTTTGAATACTGTGGTTTCCAGTACTGTGCTTGAATATTAGCCTAAGTTGAGTTCACGTACTTTTTTTTTTTTTTTTTTTGGTAATATGTGGCATGTAATCATTTTGCTCAAAAAACCAATACTTTATTTGCTTCTTAAGAATCTTCTTAAGAATCTACTTGCTTCTTCTTAAGTATCCAGAAGATATGTAAGCCATAGTCACAGGCACATTTTTGTGTTGTTAATCCCAAGAACTCAGGTTAACGTTCGGATATGTTAAAGAGGACTCAACTTTTCAGATGCTTCAGAACTTCAGACTCCAAGCTTCTGATCCTTACACTAACAGTTCCCATTGTCTTCATTCAAAACAAGTAGGGTTTTTTTTTTTTTGTGAGTCTTGGTTTAGTGAATTCTATAGGTATTTTGTTGATTTGCTTACAGGACTGCAATAATTGTGGTAATAGGTACTTCAACTACTTGTGCCATATATTTAAAAAGGTTTTTTTTTCCTAGTTGTTTTAAAAACCCTTTTTTCATTAGTTCAGCAAGATTGTTCTCTGTTCCTACTCATTATTTGTTTTTTATTATGTCTTTCAGAGGTGTGTTTGAGATCAGATTTAAGATCTCTATTTAGGAAACAAATATAAAGATTATTTTAAAATAACTGGTTCTTTAAGAATGCTGCATCCTGTGCATTGCTGTGACGACGCTTGCGTTTTTGGAAATTCAAGTAGCACTCCTGGGGATTATTTAAATTTCCTTTCAATAGTACCAGTTTTTGAAACTAGACTTGTAATAAAGCTGCTTAGCCAGCTACTTCTCTCTGAGAGTTTGAATTTGCAACCTTGAGGTAGCAGATTGAATGTGTAAAACCTACAAAAACAGTATGATACTAAGTTGGGAAAGTAACTGTTGTGCTAAACCGCACAGTAAGCATTTAGGCGTCTTTTATGGAAAAGAAAACACAAGTGGAGTATTGAAGCAGACCTTAAACATATATTCATATGCGTGTGGTATCTCTTCTGATGCAGAGTAGCTTAGCACAGTGTATTTAAGCTTTTTTAAATCTGTGGACTCCTTAGGTTTTCAGCAAGGCTGTGGCTCATTACATGGTTAAGTTTAGCAATGTGAAGCTTGCATTTCTAGGCATACTTATGATCTTTGTTGGACACAGTCCATGCACTGCTTTTTGATAGGTTTTGGCGCTGCATTCATTTTTTTTTTCTATTTTTTTATTTGTTTGTTTTTTAAGTTGTCCTTCTCAGGATATATTCTGTGATAAGTGGATCAGATGCTAAAGCTTAATAAATATGCCATGTAACTCTGATCTGCAGGTTGATGTCGTGTAGCCAAACCAATGTGTGAACCAAAACCATTTGCACAGAAACTAGTATCTGAAATAGCTGGAGAACAGAAAAATGAATCATTTTGAAGCATGAGATAAATTAACGGGAAAACGTAATGTAGTACGAAAGTAAATAAGACTAATATTAATAGTGTTTTGAAAAATTAATGTATATGGCATATCTTGTGCTAACAGCTTCTTATGTAGCAGAATAATATTACTAGTGCATTTGACAGAATATTCAGAAGGTTTTGTGAATCACAGTCCTTCTTCCACCAAACTGGAGACTTAGGGAGCTGTGTTCCCTATATGCCATAGTTCCAATAAAATGGCAGTGACTTTCAGAGCTGTGAACATTACCTACCTGAGCAATTGTAACAATTATGTAAGTAAATGTTTTATAACGGTATAGGCTTAAATATGTTCAAACTGAGGTGCAAAGAAGAGGTAAAGTTTTTTAAAAAAATGCTAGTAAGAAGATCTTAGTTTTAGACTCTTACGAAAATGGCCCCTTTCTCAGCAGAGGCGATTGCGTCGTACAGACCTGCCGATATCCATTTAATTTGTCACAGCAGATGTACTTAGGGTGAGATCTAGTGCTGGCCCTCTACATATGATCTGCTTTTTCCTTTTTACTGATCTAAACCTTCTTATAGCCAGAGTGCACATGAGTTGCTTGAATGAACTCAGCCTCTGAAAAAGAGTTAGCAGGGAACGTCTGCTGATGCTCAGGAAAGGCCTCCGCAACCTTCCTCCCTGTACAAGTGAGATAGATTCATCATTTGTAAGATTAACCTAACATCATCCTTTCTCCAGAGTAGGAAGCCTCATCTAAGTGACTAAGGAAACCTGTTTTATGGGGTGGGTGGGCGGTTATGGTGTCACAGCACATACTATTTATTGTTTATGAAACAGTTTCTGCAAGGACAAGAGATGCATACATTTGTAGGGAGTATTAATTGCCATTTTTTTTTGAGGAGTAGATTGTAGCTCCACTTTCCTTTTCCCGAACGCTGAATTTGCATATTTGAGACACACATGTTCTGAGGCTATAAGGAATTTTTATGATGTCATTAGAAATTTTTATGGTCAGTTTTTTTTGTATGCATGGTATTTTCAGAAGTATTAGTTTCAATGCAAGATTATATCACTTATTTTTAAAGCCTCTCTGGACTTCTGGACAGTGGGTTAAAGCAGCTGAAAATATTTTAAGTTATTTTAATTTTCCAGGTCGTAGTCTAATGCATCGAAGTTGTATGGGTTTGCTGAAGAGAAGCTGTTTGATATGAAGTTTTATTTATCTCTTCTTTTTTAGTTTTTATTACAAAGGTAGCTCAACTGTTTCTCCCATTGTGATTATGTGAGAAAAATCTTGTTTTCCGTTCCTGAGAATGGGAGGGGAAAATAGGGAGAAGGAAAAGTAGACAGAGGTGGTAGGAGAGTCTAGGGAGGAAGATCAGGAAACCAGAACAGAGGGATACAGGAAATGTGTGGGAGTTAGAGAAACACTAGATGTGAAATTAAACCCTTAAAATGAGAAATTAATGTGAAATCTAGCAACAAAGCTCAGCAACCTGTTGATAAAGTTTGTCCCTCAAAGTTGTTGTTGCTTACATTGTTTTCTACTCCTGAAGAATGAGTATAGCTCTGCATGGATTCTTTATCTCCTTTAGGTTGTAAGGGTGTTTTGTTTTATTGGTATGTTTCTTGTTGTGTAAGCAGTCTTGGAAGCACTTGGAAGTTAGGAAATAGCATCATGTTTATATATCCCTAATTCAGTTCTGTTCAGAAGTATTTATGTCTGTGATGGAAACTCTTTGAGGATGGGGCCACCATTCCATGAAACATGTCAGTTCTGTCACTATGCAATGAAATAATTCATTGATTTTGCTTAGCATTTAAGGACTTGATTTTGAGATTGAGCTCGTTAGAATGTCCAACTATAAATGAGATTCTGCAGACACTGATCCCATTTATTTGCGCTGGTTCTCCAATAAAAAGAGAAATTGTTAAGCATTACATTTGTGAGGGAAAATATCTCCCTTAGTCCATAAATTCTGAAATTTTAGCACCTTTATGCTACAAGAGCATAGTGCTGAAATATACAGAACCCATATAATTATACAGTATGTACGTTAAACACAAACAAAATTCTAGCCTCCGTCCTGCAAGAAGCATCGCTGCAGTCCTGCTGGGAGTAAGCTAGCACGTTCGTTCTCCTCCATGCTATGCCAGGGCATCTGTGCTGTTTCTGGGCCCAGAACCACTTCAGGCATAAGTAATTTAGGTAATTTTGTTCTGTGCTGTTACACTGATGCTCCTTAAGAGCAGGACTGAACCGGACAGCAAACTCGGATGTGGGCAGCTAATGGTTGCCTGGGCTGAAATGCTGCCAGTTCAGAAATGGAAGTCCAGGGCTTAGCTTTTTAAACTTTAAGTCCCGTTATCTTAATGGTCCAACATTTTGTATTTATGTGCACACTCAGTATGAATATTATGAGCAGTGTCAAAGATTCTGAAAACCATTGGTGTATAGGGTGTTAGTGAAAATTAAAGTTTTTAGAAGAGGTTAAAAAATTTTATAAGTAGTAATTAGTTGTAGCTCATTTTAAATGCTTTGAAAAAATTCACGTGGCTATGCATATGTTTTCTAATTAAGTTTTCTTTCGGGCAAATTTATGTCCTGCTTTGCTAACATATCCCCCTACCTTCCGCTAGCATTATACCATAATTTCCTTCCTGTCCCAGATCCCTGACAATACCATCAGCTGCCTTGTATATCCACTGTTTAAAGACTGGTTGACAGGCACTAGCAGGCCATTTCTGACCTAGGCTTGGGCAGGCTGTTTAGCCAGTGCATATATAACTATTTTGATAACAGCGTAGCTTTTCCTCCAAGACAATATTAACTTGGGCCTCTTTCCTCTTCCAGGTTTAATGAACTTGGTCAGAAACCCATATGCTTACCTCTCTCTTTCCAGGAAAGTGATTAAAATAACTTAGGTTTCAGGTTGTGAAGGAAATCCTCTCAAATATAATTGAACAGTATAATCTGTAACTATACTGTATTTTTGAGTTTGGGATGCTGCGTCAGAAACCTTTAGATATGTTGTTCTTTCACCACTTTTTACTTCCTCCTTCCTCCTCAAAACCCAGCAAGGTAGTTGGATGTTACTAAAGCTTAAGCATGAGTCAACAATTTCACATTGTGCCTTTCTGCATACGTGTCAAGGAGAACAACCATCAATGTTGAGGAAACTCATGCTCAAAATAAATATTGGACTTTCTGGTATAAGGTGTTGAAATAGGTAGAGGATGAGAAAGAAGATCAGAAAATGAAGTGAGAGACAAAGTTTAATTCTAGAAAAGTGAGATGTATATTTATTTAATGGAAAATGAATTATTTTATAGTTAAAAATAGTGTTTTATGTTATTTCTGCAGAGTGCCAGAAGTGTGGCTTTGTGCATGTTTGGTGTTACAAGAGTTTTGCACTTCAGCTGTTGCTAGAGCTCTTTCAGGGATTTATATATGAATAAATTATATGGAACTGAGTACCCAAAGCATCTGTCCAAGGAGCTAGATGAAAGGGAAAATGTGTAAGATGTGCGTGGCCCTTGCCAGACTGTTTGGTTTCACCAGGTGACGCGGACAGGAATAGGTCAGGGGAGAGGGGAGCAGAAGCTGCATCAGCAAGGTCTGTGTGTCCAGCCTCTCCTGTACAGAATCTAACCAAACCCTGGAGTGGTGAGCGCAGGGCCCTTGGATGGGGACATGCGGGGGGTTTCGGTCAGCCTCCCCGGGGAAGGTTGCTTCCTCGTACCTGTGTGAGTCTTGGGTTCCCGATCTCAGCAGTTATTGTCACCCGGTCCTTTTCTTGTCTGTTTACAGCTTGAGTTGACAGGCAGTTAAGAAATACAATAAACTCAAGGTGCCAGAAACTTGTATAAATAAGATAAAGGTCTTTTAGCTAAGTGTATCTTCTGTTCTCCAACTCTTCATCGTGGATCCTTGCAGCTGAGCTGACAAGGGGAGCAGTGGGAGCTCCCGTGAGATCAAGGGAGAGGCTGGTGATGTGTTTTGATAGGAGATGGAAGCCCAGGCTGCATGTGAAAAGTGGAGACAGAGAAAGCACTGGGTGTGTGTGGTACACTGAGAACCAAAATGCCTGTTTAAATTTTCTGTCTTATCTCTCTAGAGTTATTGGTAAGGTTCTTGGTCCCATCAGGTGATGCTGTTATAAATTGCAAAGCCAGATGTGATCAGAAGACTTCAGAAATGCAGTGTAGAATGTATTAATAAGGTATTATTTTGAGATTTTAAAGATACTATACTTTTTTTTTTCCAGATAAAACTGCCACCAATGATGGAAATCATAACAGCTGAACAGTTGATGGAATATTTAGGTTAGTAATTATTGACAATAGATAGTTTGTCAAATCAAATTATATACTGTACTTATACAGTCCTCATAATACTATTAATGAATTATTTGCCAAGCTATTCATTCAGCTTTACTTGAATTCACCCTTCAAGAAAACCACTGCATGATGTACAGTAACTTAAGTTCTTCTTTAACAGTGTTTACAAATTTCCTACATTGCTCTCGTAAGTCAGCCTGGTGATACAGGTGGAATGGCTTAGCACACCAACACGTTGTCAGACATAAACTTACTCATATCTTGCAATGTTGTTTGTTATATGCCACAGGAAGTAGTAAGTCAGTTCTGCCTTTTAATTATCTGCGATAACTCCACTTCTTGGAAGCATGATCCCATTAAAATAACAGGAAAAATGGCTATAATTGTCACAGTGTAGTTGTCTCATTTGCAGGCCACTGCAAGTCCATCCAGACTTGCTCTCTGGCAAACTTGCAGCTGCTTCCAACCCACCAGCCTGTAACTTGGACAGCCCAGCATGCTCCAGTATGGTTCTTACAACTAAAGAAAAATATAGGAAAAATTTTATTGTTTGATAGAATCTTACTACTTTGTTTTATACTCATTATTTTATTCTACCTTGTGATGGTAATTTAAGCTCTAAATCAGTGGGATCTCATTAATTTAATAGAATTCTTGAATGCTTGTATAAATGATCAGAATCGCCTTCACTCAGAAGTGTTCATAGAAATCTTGAAACTTTGAGCATAACAAAGTTTTATTTTCACTTTTTAGGAGATTATATTCTTGATGCAAAACCTAAAGAGATATCTGAAATTCAGCGTCTAAATTATGAACAGGTAAGAAGCTGATCCTAAAAAAGTGGCTTATATCTGGCAGAACTATTTTTAAATTATTATTATTATTTTAATTCTAATCTATATCATGATGTTTAAAAATGAGAAGAAACCCTATTGTTTGCAGTTATAATTTTTCTTGTTTTTCTTTTCTGAACTTAATGTAGGGTATGATTGTGGTTGCAAGGCAGGCAAGAGAGGGCTGGATATTGATTGAGACACGCACTCGAGGTTCAAAAAGGATTAAACAGGGCAGGTTTAATAAAAGACTTCTTCTCCAACCTGCACGGGGAATGCCTGGAATGCTAGTTGAGAGCATGGGTCGGACACGTAGGTCAGATACCCTGGCAGGATTTGATTTGTTGTTCATAAGGACCCTTTAAATATAGTAGAACTATTTCCTTATCTTAGCTGTGCTGTTCTTGAGAACCTGCTGTCCATGAAGCAGCTTGTCATTGCTGACAAAATGGAATATGTGTGCCTGGCCCAGGTGGGAATTTGGTCAGCATGCAGTTCCACATGCTGTGCCTGGCTACCACCTCCTGTGCCTGTAAATGACTCCTTGCCACATCTTCTGGCTGGGCCTCGTATGATGCAAGTCAGATTTGTTCTGAGTGAGGTGAAAGATGACAGTAAGCATGAAAATCAGATAGCAGTAAAGACAGTCCAATACCATTCATCAGAAAACATGGTTATACGCGGTTCTGCTGCACACTTGTTCCTGAGACTGAACACTGTAATCGAGCTGCTGTTGCAGAGGGTGTGGGTGTGGAGGCACAGCGGTCTGCTCAGCTCGGCTGCTTCATCTTCACAGTGCGAATATAAACTGTGCTTCTGTGGCTGGGCTTATAATGGTACCCAAACTAGGTGTTTGAAGCAAACTAAATTGCAGTTGTGGAATGACTGTCATTTGAAAATGTTAAGTGTTCCATGAGAAGCCCTTCAGCATTGCTCTAAAATGGAGACTGTGGCTTTTATTGCCTTTACAGCAGTGTAAAGCTTTTTTAAATTTCTTTATTTTTCATTATTATTAAAGTGCTTTGCAAGCATAGGTATATCTGAGTTGGAATGCTGCATACCCCTAAGAGGAGTTGCTTAATTACTTGGGTTAAAATGCTGCGGGTAAAGAACATGAAAATTTTGCTGCTTTTGTAAATGAATCCATGCTGTCGCATGTCTGAAGTATTGTCCAAAGATTTGTAGACTAGGTTGTTTCACGTGTGTATGTTCACACGATTTTTGCATACACATTTTGTTTTGAAGTACTGTCACATCTGAGAGATACCAAAAGAAAATCTTCCAAGATCTAGGTAATGCTCATTCTTATCATAGGTACAGAACTGTGTTTAAAAAAAAAAAAAAAAAAAGATTATGAAGTACTGAATGATGTAGCTTGTTTTACTTAGTTTAAAACATATAGTACTGATTACTGTTAATTCTTCAGAATACTGAGTTACAAGGAGCATAGACCAACTCCTTAAAAGTCCTGAAGTCTGCCCTGCATTCTAATATTCTAGTTTGTGTTGGCATTCTTCTTCCATCTACTCTGTTCATTCCCCTATTGTAATGCTGCAGGAATGAATATTCAACTTAATGTATTGGCTATGCTGTTGTTTAATTGATTGTTTGGAACGTGGCTGCAATTCAGTAAGTTGCCTTTAATTTGATAAAATCAGTCATCTCTGCATAACCAACATCCGTGTTGTCGGCCTACCTCTTTATTTTTCTCAGTGTTCCTTCTATAAAGATGGTCAACACCATGGTCACTATTTTTTTGCGTTTTTTTTTTTTCTCCCTTTCTCAACTCAATTCGTTCTATTAATTGTCATTCTTTTCATTTTCTGATTTCTTGTGATTAAAAGAAGAAGTCTTTAACACTGTGTTTCATAGTCTTTGTATCATTTGAATATTTTCTGTCTCTCTCTCCTTTCAATCTTTTTTTCTGATGCTCTCTTTCTTTTTTTCTCCATAATTGTAATACTGAGTTCCTCTTTAGCAACTTAATATTGCAAAACTAACTAAAGAAAACAAAACAAACAAAACCCCTCCAGTTTCCCTGGACCTTTTGCAAGTACTTTCTGATGATCCTCTGTGGGTGCTTCACACCCGGTAGAAAATACTTTCTTGCATATCAAGAGATTTATTTTATCACTCTGATTTTTGGTTTGAGAGAACCGCAATGTCCTTTTTTTTTAGGCATATCTTTTCTTTTGCTTGATTTGATCTTTGTAACAGTTTACTTTAGACTTATATTGAGATGGCCAATAAGTGTTACTTTTATGACATAGATTGCTAATGGAATATACAGACTGTTTGAAGGTATGGCCAAAATAAGATAGCAAAAATTTTCTATGAAACAACAAAAAAACAGATTATTTAATATTCAGTCAAAACTATAAGAAAACTAGGAGTTATTCTTTTTTTTTTTCTTAAGCTAATAAACTTTTAAATTCGAATCAGGAAGTAAAATTGGAAGGTTCATCCTTGAGTAAGAAGCAGTCGGATACGCCTGATTTGAGGGAGTTTAAACATCATCTTTTCTGGCACAGTGATGAAAATTAATGCATACTGCTGCACTCAAGCTGCAGGCTTGACCTCAATCCTGTGAGATGTACACTCAAACTTCTAACTGCTTTATGCATGGGGGAAGTATATTTCCTAAATAATACCTTCAAATCGCTAGTCAAAATTGGAGTCTTCTTTTATAGAATTTGCCTTATCTGTAAACTGGAAATTCATAGACTACATGTATGCTCAAAAGATGATCTAGGCAGCAATATGTGCATATATGAAGATACTTAAGGAAATAATATTATTTAGATGCAAATAGTTTCCTGGAACACTCATGTGCTTTATGATTTTCCTGAGGTTTCTGAGAAACATATAGCTACTTGAAAATTAAGCCCCTCTGAGGACTGTATCCAAATCCATTGTTCTGAAGACTGCTGAGTTGTGTCTTTTTTGTGTCCTCCTGTCAAGTGCTGCTAGAGTTTTTTTTGTTTTCCTTCAATATAAATCAATACTTAATCTGAACATCATCAGTTAGTCCCAAAACATACGATTTTTGGTCTGCAACTGGCACCTTCCTAGACTGTGATGATGCAAACAGCAGTAATACTTCATTCTAAATATATATTTTATGCAAAAATGAAATTGAATACTGTTGCATTTAATGTACACTTACTTTGTAATATGCCATGAATAATGTGACTATTTATTGGAACAATTTTGTAGTGAATTTGCCCTTTTGCAGGTTTGCAGGGTGTTTTAATCTGTGATAAATATGACCACATATGTCTCTGTGTGTGTATATATATATCATATACATGTTGAATTAAAGAATTCTATATGATGAAAGATGGTGAGAGTAACCATCAAGTGCTCACAGCTGTATTTAGTCATCTGTTCTTTTTGTTTGCTTCTGCTGACAGAACATGAGCGATGCAATGGCAATTCTGCATAAGTTGCAGACAGGCCTGGACGTGAACGTGAAGTTCACGGGTGTGCGCGTGTTTGAGTACACACCTGAATGCATAGTGTTCGATCTTCTTGATATCCCCTTGTACCACGGATGGTTAGTGGACCCTCAGGTAACTTATTTGTTCAAATGTAATTCAAGCAGAAATTAAAATTATTCCAGTTTTGTTTGCTTTTGAAGATGTTTCATATTCTTGTTAATCTGAATTGGAGTTGGGTGGATCTGAGTCAGTGATGATGAACATGGTGATGGTGGTATTAATGTCAGTAAAATTGGCTTTAGGGAAAAGGGAGCCAAGACTGTGGGTTTTTGTTTGTTTGTTTTGTTTTTTTGTTAAGTACAGCAACTTTGCAGAGACTAGGTTTTTAATCAAGCTTAGCTTCAAAATATTACTCTGAAATCATGATGGTACAAGCGATGGTGGTTGTTCTGAGGGATGTAGGCAGTTGCCAGAAATAGTATATCACTCATTTTGAAGGCTTATTGGAGAACACCTATCAGGGAGGAATTTAAAGCTACTTTCCTCCCTTCTTCACTTATGGCTGACTTCTTCCAGTCACTGCTTTGAGGACTTGGAGCATTAGAAACAGTTTGAAAAAGCTCTATCTATACGTCAAACTCCAAACACCATGGAAGAAAGTAGTTGGTAGAAACGTAGCCCCCTCTTCTCCTTTCTTGAGTTTAGTAATAACTTGTGCTGAGAAACTGTAGCTTATGGATTCAAAATGGGATCTGGCACTGCTAAATGTGTAACAATCTGGATTAAGGCTTTTTTACTATTTATTTTTAGGGGGTAATATGTTCTCTTTAAGGGAACTTATATTCTTATGAATAATTGCAAGAGGCTTACAGTGGTTTTCTGTTCTCTATAAAGGTATGTTCTCACTTGGGTGTCCTGTTTTCTCCTGCACCAGGTTGCTGACATTGTAAAAGCAGTTGGTAACTGCAGTTACAATCAACTAGTGGAAAAGATAATTTCTTGTAAACAGTCAGACAACAGTGAACTGGTTAGTGAAGGTTGGTATGTTTTGTTGTTGTTGTTTGTTTGTCTGTTTTGTGTGTGGGGCGGGAGTTTTGTGTTTGTGGAGGTTTTTTGTGTTTGTTTTCTGTCTCTCTGTCTCTGTCCCTCTAAGAATCCAACCTATCAAATCTTAATTTTATATCTTGTATGAGTCCTGTGTGTAGTGTCTGTTTTGTAGTGATACAAATGGCATGAACTGGATTAATTGTGTCTACTAATCTTCTTTCCCGTGGGAAGGCAAACAGCACTGTCCTGGTCCTCTAAACTTCTGTGATGCAATTTTCGAAACGAAGATTGGCCACATTCTCTTGAGTTCTATTATAGGTCATTTTTAAAAGCTGTGAAGAACTTCCCTTCATGGGAAAGCAAAAAAATGATGGGCAACATCTAAATTTCGACTTCGCTATGTCTTGATCTCATACAATTTGAACATGAATCACATACTACATGTAAAGAGAAAAATAATTGGATTGGAAGTGGATATAACGTATGTAAATATGTGAGAAGTTGTTTACAGTGCTAAATTGTGGGAACATCCAACTCTTTTTCCCCTCTCTGAATCTCTTCTCTTACATTTGTGGTAATAAAGGGGTATTATTCTAGTAAGAGAATAGGACAAATCTTATCTTTATTGTTTTGCTCAAATTTATATATAGGGAAGTTAAATGTAGAGAAAGAGAAGGAAAATAACTTTTTGGTTACTCTAGAGGACTTAGGACTGAATTTTTGGAGGAGCTCTTAGGGTTTTGTTAGCTCCGCACGTGATCCAAAATAATAGGTTTTGGTTTATTTTTATTTTGGACCACTTCTATAAGGGGTAGTTGTTGATCAGTCAATGCTCCCTCGTTGGTGACATTAAAATGGCACCTTCTTACCAGTGCAGAGAGTTTGCAGTCTGTTGACAGTGGTGTACAACTTCTGCAAAAGGGCAAAAGGCAGCCCTTTTTTTCGACTGCTGCTGTAGCCTCCTTTTCCTGTGTTTCTTGGCAGCAAACCAACTGTATGTATTGAACAGCATCCATATTCCAGCAGCTGGAAAAGTGAAGCAGCTGGAAAAGTGAAGCAGCTTGACTTTTTACTGCGGCTCTCCAGGTTGAGCTGCAAGGCAAGCAAAAGGCTGACATGTGGCCTTCTTGAAGCATGCTACAAAACATGTGTTCAATAGCTACCCTTCTCCACAGAAGGAAAACGAGACAAGAAAAGCAGTAGGGAATCCAGTTTGTGAAGGGTTTTCAGTTTACTCTGATGTGTTTAAGAAGTGTATTGTGATATGTGATGCCGTGTTCAATAAATACGGTGTTGTTGTTTCCTGAACTAGGAGTATATCCTATATATGAGCCAAGAGACCTCTTCTGTCTCATTGTTTTATAGTTATGGAGGTATTTTGGCTAGGCAGTTGTTAACAAAACTGACAAGTCTTAAACACTATAATTAAATTCGGAAGTGATGCCTCTGCATGAGGTTCTCATAGATCTTAAAAATAGCTCAGAAGAGGTCAAGTGTTTTGTAACTCTATTTATATCAAAGGAAACGTCAGTAGTGAGGGTAGTTTGAGAAGCAGTTGTGTATTATGGCATTCCTTTGGTCTTTCCCAAGAACAAGAATCTACAATTTAGCATGCTTTCTCCTGCCACTGCCCAGGGATGTATACTAAATTGTAAGAGATTTTCTTTTTTTTCTGTGGTGTATTTACCCACCAGTCTCCAGAAGTAAGAGGATTGTAGATTGCTGACATTTGTGAGAGTAGGCAGATAGACATATGCTTTTAAGTCATCCTTTTCAGTCAGCGTATCAATCCCTTCTCCCCACTTTTTCCTTTTCTCACCACATTCAACAATCACTTGTAAGGTGTAAAACAGAGGACTCGTTTTGCTACCCACCCATCGCTTGCTGGCAGCATGCTGGTATGGTGAGCAGCTCCTACATACTGCTTTACTTAAAAGCATTAAGTTAAATATTTTAGCAAGCAATCTGTAAAAATGGGATTCACTTCTAACTCCAGCTTGATAAATCATTGGTGCTAATTGGTGAGGTTTTTCCTTTCTTTGTTCTAATGAAATCAAGGCAATAACAGAAAATATTTTTTTATTTAATTCTCCTGAAACTTAGGATGGGGCGGGGGGGAAGTGGCTCATTGTTAACAAAGCACATGATAGACACATGCATAACAGTGTGTATTATTTTTGTAGGATTTGTAGCTGAACAATTTCTAAATAACACAGCTACACAATTGACATACCATGGGCTGTGTGAGTTGACTTCAGCTGTCCAGGAGGGAGAGCTTTGTGTGTTCTTCAGGAACAACCATTTTAGCACCATGACTAAATATAAGGTATATTCAACTGTATTTTGTTGTTGTTTTCTTTTTTGTTTCAAAGCGAATCTTATTTTATCCCTGTCTCTATAATAATTCATATTATTATTAAAGGTAGGTATGTCTTATGGTGAATGTAAGGTCTAGAGCAAATGTTACTTGCAAATTATTGATCATTGTTTTAAATATCAGGATCCATTATTATTTTCAATGATATTGTAGCTTCTATATTATATGTAGCTCTGTCTTATGTGTTTGTATATAATTTGTTTATATAACTATGCTTGCAGCATGTAATGGCTAAATATAGCGTTAATGTAATATGAGGTAAAAGACTATTTTTGAATTTGAAACTGGGAAAGCAAATGGTGCAAACGTCCCGGAAATACCCCGGGATAGTAGAAGCGGTGACAATTTGGTGCTTCCTTCTGAGACTTCCCACTCTGGGCAAATCTGCCAAATTCTTTGGCAAATTTATAATCACTGGTGGAACATCTTTGTTCTAAAGCAACTTTGCATCTATCGAAGTGATAGTGTGCTTTTACATGGCTGACAGTTTATGTAGTCAAACCCTGCCTGAAAAGAGGGGTATGATTTTAAGACAAACTCAAATCATTTTAGGTAGATTTTCTTAGGATTGTAGTGTCAAATCATACCTGTAGTTAAATGTTTCTCTCAATGTAGTAAGTGTAGGAAATTCCTACTGTTGTACATGACAGTTTTGAAATTTCATTTTGGTTAGCTATTATTAAATTTTGATTTGAATGTACATTTATGTTTATAAATAATGATAATAAAACCAAAAAAAAAAGGGTTTTGGTAGCATACATAGATGTGGAAGGGCCACTATTTTTTTTAACCATCTTTTGTTTGGCAACCTCATATGCTATGAATGATGCTGACTCTTTTGTTTAGGAGTACTAGTCCTTTTTCACCATCTATTAATCTTGACTGTCATATGTTAACCTTTGGCATCTTGAATAATTGCTCATAACCTGAGCTAAAGCTCTAAATGGTTCTATAAACAATGGATTAACTTACAGAAAAAACAGGTAACGCATTTTTTAACAACTACCTAGAGCGCATTTATGATTTGTTTTAAATCTATGTGGAATAATACTCTTCCTTTAAAACACGTGGGGAGATAGCTAAAAGAGCATCTTCCCCCTTCTCTCCACATCCTACCCTATTAAAAAAAAGATTATGGAATATATTGAGGGGAATAGAGTCTGGAGGAGTTCATGGCCAAGATGATGATGGTTGTATTCTCTGAACCTTGCTTATGTTACACTTTTTTAACTGTTGCTTCTCTTCATTTTTCTAAATCTACATCTTGCAATAGCTGTTGTAATATTTGCCGTGTGGGTGTAAACATTGTTCTGTGGTTGCTTTTCTTGAGAAGAAAATTACCACTTTGTTTTTAAAGAGAAAAGTCTTAGTAGAAGTACAAGTGGTACCTGGAAGGGCAGGAAACACGTTAGCTCAGAGGATATTCTAGATAGATTATGTTGGTCTTGCTGGAAAAAATGTTTTAAGTGCTTCTGTATTTATGTACTTAAGCGCTTGGTACTGTAATTATAACTTTTAAAATACATCTACAAATACATCTACTATTAAAGGAGCAGACAAATGCAGCTTTACCTTGCTTTACAGCAGCCAAGTATTCTTTCTTATCAAGAAGCTAAAAATGGGCTTGACTTTGGCTTTTTGCTAAGACCAGGTATTTTTTGTATTTCCAGGATACTGATCTCAGCATCAAGTGCATTGTTGTTACAAAGTTAAGACTTTTTTTCATCTGCTTTCCTCTTTCTTGTAATTAGATTAGATGTTAGCTCTGTATATTTGTAATGGAGTTTTCTCTTTTATATCACGATTCTAGCAGTACCCAGCAGTACTGCTGGCTCTTTTTTGGAGAAAGATCTATCAGTAAGAAAAGTGGAAGAGAGGATAAAACATCAGCAAAAAGTTACACAAACTTATTTGGAGAAAAAAAACCCCACTATGTAAACTGTTTTCTGCAGTATTGCTCTTTCCTCCTTCCAAACCAATATATAGAGTCATACAAACAAAACAGTGGATGAAGTTCAGAAAAGGAGGATTATTTATAAGCTGTAAACATAATGAAACTGTTATTTCCAGAAACTAATTTTGATTAATTAGCTGGAATATGTAGTGAAAATCTCTTAGAATAATACATGAGCATCCTAATGTACCTAGTGAAACTAATATTCAGACTTTGAGGCATAACTGACCTGTGCACTTTCACGTGGAGGGTATCTATATTTATCATAAGTAAAGTTCAATGTTATGTTTCTGAAGCTGAGATTTTTAACAAGAGCAATTGGATTTTGGTATCTTACTGTTTCAAAGAAAGTATAATACAGGCTGATCTTAACTGCACTTACTGGAGGAGAAAATAAAAGGTCCCTGAGCTTCTTCAAAGGAACTGAGGAAAACTACGAAATCCTTTTAAATTGTAGAATCAGCTTTAGGACTTTGAGGTGCAAGTGTTAATAATTAAAAAAAAAAAAGTGTTCAGGGATATTTTAAGTTAAATATTTGTTCTTGATTTTTTATACTAAAGTAAATGAATACAGCCTTAATTCTCCTTTATAGTGAGGCCAAATCACAGCCATATGATTGTGACTGAGTCATGTTTAGTATTTGTAGTGCCAGAGTGAACAGTTCCCTCTCCCTCTGCCTCTCCCTCAGTTTTCTTCACATTACATCTAGTGAGCTTGATTTAGACATCATTGGTGCTGTCTTTATTAATTTATTATTGTATATATACACACACTTAGCTCTAATTCCTTAATGAGGGATTATCTTGTGGATGTTTTAAGGCAGAAAAAGTCTGATCTTTGTGCACATAAGTCGGATTTCCCGCTTAACTCGTTATTACAAAGCATTTGCAGTATTTATCATTGTTTGCTGAATCAATTAAAAATACAAGACTTAAGTAACACTCAGAATTATTTACTTGATTATACTGAGATTGGAGCAACATCCCACTGAAAGGGTCTTTTTCTTGCTGTTGGGATATTTACTTTGGAGGGCCGTTTTACTAAAATTGGTTTTATATGAAAGTGAGAAAACAACTCCGTGTTCTGAGTGTGTGTGTGTGCTAACAATTCTGCAATAGAATAGCTGTCAAACTGTGGTGAGAATTAGTTAATTGTGAGAATTCAGTTATGAGTCTCTTAATCATTTGTCTAATAATTATCTGTTTGTACTCAGTTAATTATTTTTTCTTTCCTATCCCTTTAATTGCATAGTAATAATTTTCTTGGCTCATGTGATTATACAGTAAGTATTTTCAGCAGTAAAAGATGTGATTTTCTTTTTTTTTTCTTTTTTGTTTTTACCTTTGCTTTTTGTTACACAGATAATAAATGCTTCACATGATAATCCCCTAGATCAAGACAAAAACAGGACTGTAAAGAGGGGATCAGTTTGGTAAGAATATCT